GATAGAGCCTTTGCTGTGGTAGGTCCAAAACTGTGGAATGCCTTGCCGCTTTATATTAGGCCGGCCCCCCCCTTGTCTACTTTTAAGTCTTATTTGAAGACCCACTTGTATTCATTGGCGTTTGGCCAGGAATGAGACTCTGTTTGTAGTGTTAGTGTCTATATTATCGTTTATAGCTTTTTATGTGTTGTTTTTATATTTGCATGATATGTTAAGTGCTTTGGTCAGCTGTGCTGTGGTAAAACGCTATATAAATAAAGTTGAGTTGAGTTGAGTAATGAGCCCAGAGCGACCTCTGTTGGGGATCTCTGAACTCTAATCTGAGCCACTATTCCTCCAGTCAACGGAACCATTTACACTTTACTCCGAGTTTCACAAAGTCAACTTACATATTATCAGATTGTATTTCATTTGGGTCCAGTTCAAAAAATAAACATGACGTAGTTTTGTTCACTGACAGTATAATGACCATGGACACTGTCTCAGTCAACAAGCTTGTTTATCTGACACAAACAAAGGTCCTTACTTCACATGAAAGACTCCAAGACAGGAATATATAGAATCAAGTTTATTCTTCAGTTTGGCTGATTCTTGGATATGAATTGATCATTAACCTTTTAACACATTGTCACAATAATAGTAAATTATGCTAAAATTAAAACAACAAAGGATCTGACTGACACACATCAGTGTCAGTTACTAGCCAGCAGAACATAGAGCATTGCTGGCCAGGATGAACGTCATCAAAAAGCCTCTTGTTTCAACCACTTTTAATTCACTGAATAAACCACTAGGAGAGCACAGAAGGCTTAGTAAGGTAACTGGGTTTTATTAGCTTGATGTTTAACAGTAGGTATTTATTGTATCTAGTACGTAGCTATACAGTTTGTCCCCATTGGCTCCCTGTAAAATCCAGAATAGAATTTAAATTCCTTCTAACATACAAAGCTCTTAGTGACAAGGCTCCATCGTATCTTAAAAACGTCATAGTTCCACATCATCCCAACAGAGCACTTGGCTCTCAGGTCTAGACCAGCGATTCTCAACCAGTGGGCCTCAGAGCGCCATCTGGTGGGCATCAGCGCAGTACTGCAAAGGGTTAGATTAACATTAATATGTAATTTACCAAGCTAGGTATTTGCTAATTGTGCACAAGAATTTACGGAAATTTAAAAAACCCTTCAAATTAAAATTCATATTTTCAATGACCAATTACGTTTCAATACCATGGCATGTCATCAGTAAGTGACTAATGTCACCATGTGATAGACA